GAATAAAAATGGTTAGGAAATGTCCTCATAACTCCACCATGGCTCATGAATAGGAGATATATGAGACTCTGGTTGTGTGGAGAGAGATGAATGACACAGAAGATTTTCAGAATACTGATATCTACCCAATAATACAATGAGTACACATACTCATTTGTGACATCTCTCCTTATACCCAGTGATTCTTTATATATAATGTAAATATGTCCCTAATATAATATATTATATAGTGTATATTATATATAATGTATTCATTACATAATGTGTACATTATATTATATAATATAATATACATATACATTATAATGTATATAATGTATACAGATGTATATAATGTACACATTATATGATGTATATACTATGTACATTGTATAAAATGTATATAATATATATTATATAATTATATAATATTATATTACATATTACATGTGTAATATATAACATATATACTATACATTTATTAGGGAGACATATCCTCTCCACCTCCAGTAAAGAATCATTGGGTATGAGGAGAGATGTCACAAATGAATATGTATTACATATGTCAACTGCTAGACAAAAACAAAAAAATAACCAATTTTTAAAGCATATGTGAAAACACAAATTGGAACACTTCTTAATAAAGAACTTAATGAAAAACACCATTTATAAAATACAAAACATCAAGGAAATATAGCAAAAATTCTATACAACAATCTGGGTACTAATTCTATATTGGAGATGGCAAACTCTACAATAGAAATGACGGGAGCCCTGGATCTCCATGAGGACAAGCCCCCACTCTTCTTGCTCCAATCAGTATCCCTGGCACCTGGCACACAGTGTAGGAGACAGTGATACGTACAAGTTAGGAAAGCAGGAGTCTGGGTTTGACCCACAGCTCTATCACTTACCAGCCTATGATGCTGAGCAATTTACCTAGCCTCTTTGTACCTCAATTTTTAAATCTGCAAAATGGTACCTATTGCATAAGGTTGTCTTATAAATTAATAATAACAATAACAACAACACATATAGCACTTAACTTTGTGCCAGACACTTCTAAGCACTTTTCATTTACACTTATTTATTTATTTGATCCTCCCTAAAACCTTATGAGATAGAAACTAACATCCCAATTGAAAGATGAGGAAACTGAGGCTCAGAGAAGTTAGTAACCTGTCCAAGGACACACAACTAGTAAATGACAAAAAGAATTCATGTTCCTAACCACTCCATCATCCTTGAGATAACACGTGATAAGGTTTAGTACAGTGCCTGGCATATAGCATGTGTTCAATAACTAATATTTATTAATAAGTATTTGTCAAATGTTTGCAAGATTCTGAGGTTACACAGGGCTCTGCAGGAAAGAATTCTGTGATCAACTGGTGATGTGTCCCATGGACGTGGAATGTGTGAGTGATCCCATTTGTGCCATGGGTTTATTATCCCTCTTAGACATAAAACAAAGACTCTTGACGTCTGACTGCCTGAAGTTTTCCCTCCTCCATCTCAGTGTGCCAGGATCTTATGTCAGGCTGTCATTAGCTGACACCAGGTTACCATCTTCATTCCTTCCTTCTACTAATCCACTCCCCACCCAACTCCCAAAAGATTCCTCCAAAAAGATGCTTTCATCACTTCCTCCTTTCAAGGAACCCATCTTGAATGGGCTACCATATGGAATCAAAATTCCACCCCCCGCTTTCAAGGGCCTTAATAAGATATGGAAGGAACATGCCTTTAACTCTAGTTCAAGTGCATAAGTGCCTACTTATCAAATAAATACTTGATAAGAATGGCCATGGTTTATTATGCAGAAAATAGCAGTGTTTGTGTTACTTCAAAGCAGTAATAAGTAATTTTTTATTTTATATATTTATTTTGGACATAGCCCAACAGAAAAAAATTTTTAAATCTTTAAGGATCTCATTTGATTTTTATTCAGAATGAAACAAGCTTGATTGGAGGATATAAAGAATGTCAAAGACAAAATGTACATTATTAATATGCATTATAATGTTAGTATCCAGAAAAATTTCAGGCAGCTTTCTAACCTTTCGCCCTGAAATTAGATCATGAATCAGAGACTAAACTTCTAATGACTGGGGATGAAAAGTCAGAACTACTTAAAAAAAAAAAAGGAAGGCATAACACCCTTCATATTCAAGATCATACAATGCACCCATTTCCAACGGTACCTTGAAAAGCTAACTACAGCAAATCAAAACATATAAATTACTGGTGCTTATATCAAGAGAATGCTTTTAATAAACACAGTTACTAAGTAACCACCAGCCTGAATTAATGTCTCTAAGCCAACCACATCAATGGACAAACATAAATGGATTTAATTTAAAATTTAGAAAGAAAATCACACAACATCTGCTTTGAAGACTTAGCAATTTGCCAAATGTTTAATTGGCTTTTCCCCTCAGCATGAGGAGATGCAGGATTGTACTAGAAGTTCACCTGATTTGCTTAGAAATGCAAATAATTTCTGACAAAAGGTACATCCAGATGTAGCTACATCCAGATTATTCCTTAGTTGAACATTCTGATGTCAACTCAGGATTTCTGAATGTACATTCACACATCCAACCGGACAATTCTCATGTTCAGAGAGCTGGATTAAGCAAGTCAACAGGTACGAATTCAGTGTTTTTTGTTAGTTTTTGTTTTGTTTTGGAGGGATTGCTATTGTTCCTTCAGTTGAAGAAGCTGGTCTTCTTAGTTGAATATATCAACTAGGCTTCAATTTGATGAAACGTTTGGTGGTTCATATAAAATTATGGCTCAAAATAATCAATAGTAGAAGAGGTAATGTAGTTAGGTTGGGAAGATTAAGATATTCTAGAATTGTTATTCATTTAACAAATATTTATTGAGCAGCTGTGATCCATTAGCCCTAAGGGACAGGAAGCTTACTCTAATATTTCCAGGGCAGAACATGAGTCATTTCTCATTATTTCAACTGAAGTTACTTACAAATCTTTCACAGGGTCAAGAAAAAGTGCCAGCCTTAGACAGAATCACAAATCCAGTGGTTTGAATGTGTCTAATTGGTAAATGTAGCCTCCAGGAAGGCACCTGGCATTTCCTGGGCAGTGTTTACATATTTCTTTTACGTCTCATTTTTTGAGCAAGAATTATCAGCCTTTTCTTCTCTGTAAAACACAACCTCACTCCCTCGATTGTAACTGTACGTAGGCTTGGAAAGAGTCCTTGAAGGAGGTGTATGATCAAACCACATTTAGTAACTAGTCCTATGTGCTGAAAGTAAAAAAGAGATAACTATTATTAATAATTCTTTATTTTTATCAGGACTTCTCAGGCGCCAACCCCAGAGACATTTCTCTCTCCAGGAGCAAATCTCTGTGCTGAGGACACCCTCGGGACAACGGTCCTCTCATTTCTCCCTCCAAGCTTCTCACTGGCAATGAGTCCTACGAAACAGGGCAAAAGTAGGCAAGCAATGCTCTGAAGACCATAGTCAAGGCCTCCTTTAAATGGTGCTTATTTTACAAAAGGGTATAAAAAAAACAAGTTTCTTCTTAAAACTCCCAAGAACCAGCTGATGCATAAATTACAGCTGAAGTATATTCAAAAGCAAATTCTCAAGTGGCAAACAATTTGCTGTATATATGCTTGAACAGAAAACAAGCAGCCAGTTCATCTTCCAGGGAGATTCCAACAACATTTCATGCCTTTGATGAAGATGCTGTAATGGAGCAAATGGTAAACAAGAGGAGCCTATTTCTCAGAGACATTAACTTGTATTAAAAAGAAACATAAATATTTATAGCGTAGCTACAAAATGCCTACATTACAGTCGCAGAGCATATTTTTGAAGTTCAATTTAGCATCCATCTCACAAACATAAGATTGCCAGTTGAAACAAGGTCTGGAAAAAAACAGAACATAGTGGCTTAATCTCTGTGTAAACCAACCACAGAAAATTACTCCCCAAAACTTGAAACAGGAAATCAAACATTCAGGTGTAATTTATCTACTGGAACAAATCTGCCATATTGACCTTGACAGGGCCTTGAGTCATGAGATCATAAATCAGCATCCTGGTGATATCCACTATAATTTTGGAAATGCCTTAAAACCTAGCACTTCATTTTATTCTCAGTGATTAGCAGGATGTTTGGAAAGCAGGGTGCTCACTGGAGCTTACTTTGAAAGACATCTGTTTTACTTACTACCAAACACTTATTTCCAGAAAGCCATCCCCACCACCGGGCCACCCAAACACTTAAGATTTTTTCCAATCCTCTAGATCAGGTTCTGTTTCCTGAATTACTTATTACACATGTAATTTTTTTTTTTTTTAATTTCAGTAATTATAGCACTTTAGGCTCTTGGCTATGAGAAGTGTGGGTTGTTTTAGAAAGTTCTGGAAAATTATGTTTTGGTGACATTCCACTTTGTGAATTTCATTAAAGGCTTTTGGTTAAGGCTTAAATTAGTCAAGCGAAGGAAAATGTCTTAGAGTCGCTCAAAAACGGCATAAAAGTAAACATCCCCTAGAAAGGCGTGCCACACACCCTGCAGGTGTAAAGCTCTGTTTTTCCAATCCTCGCCCCTTCCTTCCCAACACGACGCACTGTCAAAGACAGTGTAGTGGTCTCTCTCCACGCCAACACCATCTCCAAGCCTGCATCCCAAGTCTGAACCAGAAATACAAACGTATAGGTCACTGCGAGAGTCTCTCCAGGCCACTAGGAGTCACAGCTTCCTGCCTTCCCCATCGATGTGAAACTAACCCTGGGGGCTGCTGGAGCGCACAGAGAAGGAGCGCAGGCCACGGGGGCCATGGCGGGACTTGCAGGAAGGAAGTGGGCAGCCGGCAAAGCGCACTTTCTAACCGCGGAGCAAGCCCGGCACCGGACGTCGCCAGCGGAAGAGGGGTCGGCGGGCGCCAGGCCAGGGGGCACACGCTCCCGGCGTGCAGACTCGACTGTGCCGGTGCGCGCTCACACTCACGCACACACACGCGCGCGCCTACTCACCAGCAACCTCTGATGTCCGGAGCGGGCGTGGGACGGCGACTGCAGCGGCTGTCCCCGCGCCTGCCGTGTGGCCTTGGCATCCGTCTGGCCGCTGCAGCCTGGGCCGCGGTGGCTTTTACTAGAAGGCACTGCAGCCGGGTGATATGGCACCCAACCACGAGGCGCCCGCTCGCTTGCCTCGGCCGTGCCTCCTCTGCTTGCCCTCTGCAGACCGACGGTGCTTTGCTAGTTCCACTCGCTCGGGCTCCGTGCGTTGTTCTCCTCCTCCTCCTCCCCTTCGCTGCCCTGGCTCCCCGGCGCCGGGGGCGAACAGGTCCCTCGAAAACCCACGCGCAGGCCGGCTGATCCCAAGCCTGCAGCAGCCGTCCCCGTGCCGCCGCCGCAGAAAAAGCAATTGTCGCTGCGATGGTCCCGGCCTCCCCTGCCCCGGCCCCTGGGTGCCGCCTCCGCCTCTGCCTCCGCCCCTCCTGCGCGGCGGCGGCCTCCTGCGTTCTGCAGAAAAAGCTCACAGGTGGAAACAGGTCACCGCGGCTGGCCTAGAGCGACAGTAAAACGATTGAGTGCGACTTTCTCATCTGAAACCTTGCACGTCGCCTCCTCAGCCCGGAACCACCTGGACTCCCATTTTCCTCCATCACGAATTTCACCGAGGTGGACTGGACACTTGTACACATGCCACGATGCAGCTGGATTTGACCGTGAAACTCTCATTGGAGTTGAGGAAGGACAAGGTTTTGGTGAAAATCCCGCTTTATACCTCATATTAGGAATTCCACCCTGAGATCTATCCATAACCTGCCCCCCACCATGAAACACTTCAGTCCTCTTCTCCACCCACCCTGACTTCGTGTACTCGGGTAATGCAAACTGTTATGAATATCTTCTGGATACTATATTATTACCATGTGCAGTGGTTGCAGTATGGTCCTGGCACTGTGCCAGGCACTCAATGTATGAAGTCTTATTTCGTCCTCTCCACAGCCTTACAAAAGGTACCTTATTTTCCCCATGACTGAGACACAGAGAAGTAATTTGTCCCAGCTTACCTACCTAGAAAGTAGTAAAAGTTAAGATTTAAATTCTGATCTAGGGGCCTGCCGGGTGGTGTAGTAGTTAAGTTCCCAGGTGCCACTTTGGCAGTGGCCCAGCATCAGGATCTTGGGCTGGGCGCAGACCTACTCACCCCTCATCAGGCCGTGCTGAGGCAGAGTCCCACACAGAAGAGCTACAACTCTACAACTATGATATACAACTATGTACTGGGGCTTTGGGGAGAAAAAAAAAGAAAAAGAGGAAGATTGGCGACAGATGTTAGCACAGGGCCAATCTTCCTCAAAAAAAAAAAAAGATTAACACGTTTAAATTCTGATCTAACACCAAAAGCTATTTCTATTGGCTAGGCAGATTGGATTAATTAATAAACATTTTACGAACACTGCTACTGCTGGATGAAACACAGGCACTTTTCCACTTTTCCTGAGTTTGGTTGGGAGGTTTCTTCCAAGCGGGAGAAATGACTGCAGAGGGGGTAGTGGAACATTGGCTTCTCCTGATCTGCTTTTCCTCAGGAGACCAGATTTATTGCCTGGGCTCTGCCACCAACTGAGCTGTTTGGCCTCAGGCATTTCACCTTCTTAGGCCTTATCTTTTTGCACTGGTTTTTAAGATGAAGAGCTTTGACTGTTGGAGGCAGCCTGCAGCCTTGATTTTTAAGAAGCAATGGTGTCATTGTTTTTCCAAATTTGAATTTGGTTCCAAATTCTAAAATCAGGAAATTTCACAAAAATTCAAACTTTTGGCATGTTCTGAAAAGTTGGAAGAACTGACAACCTTCGGTCCATGGTGGTTTCTAGCAACCATCAGTTGGAGCCAAGTGGTGGGTGTCCCCTTTAGACTGGGAAGATGCTCCTCAGTTTTCCACAGTCCCCACCACTCCTATACGCCCCACCCCACTGACATTTGAGGATATGGTAGACATTTGAGTTTGCAGTTCTGGACTAGATAATCTCATGACTTACTAAACAATCTAGAATTCAGTGATAATTAAAAAGACTAACCAGATTCCTAAAAACTATTATGAAACAAAGAATTCTACATAAATATTTATAGTGGTCATTGATCATGGTCTTGCTGTCTAGAATCCAAACTCTCAGAGAAGCCAAAAAGGGTCAATACTCACTATCTACAACCCCTAGCAGCTGGGGCACCATCATGTGACCTAAGTTCAGCCCATCAGAAGTCCTATCCAGGTCTTTGAATCTGCAGTCTGTGATTCAAAGGAGAAGAGACATTTTAGAAATAATTCTGTTATCTATGAAGTGGTTTTGTGCCTATAGACAACTGTGCCAGAGGTGAGAGGTGGGAGTGTCCAGTGGCAGTACCAGTGGTATCCTAAGTGGGCTGTTTGGGTGGTGTGACCTGTTCTGATTCCAGCTACCAAGCTACCCTGCCTGTTTGATGAGCCTGATTCTCCAGCCCTCCTGTCTCTTTGGTATGCCACCTGATGGCCTTCCAAAACATTTCTCTTCTGATGAAGTTAACACAGAATTCAGTGTTTGCGGCCAAGACTTTTGGGGTACTGCAAGCTCTGCCTCCCTTTCATTAATGGAATTCGTGAAAAGTGGGCAGAAGTGTATTTGTACAACTTTTATCTTAGAGAATTTTAAAGTGTTATCTAATTTTACTTGTGCTTTCAAAGATTCTCTTGCAATATTAATTCAAAAATGCAAATTTTTTAAAAAATAGGATTTTTTGCCCTTACCAATCAAATTAGCAAAGATCGCATATCAACAAACATTGTCCTCAATATTGGTGAGGATGCAGTGAAATGAATCCCTTCATCTGGTGGTGCAATTTTGATACACTGCTGGAAAGGAATTTGTCAGTATGTTAGCAGAAGCTGTAAAATGTAGACAGCCTTTTCCTCCACATAATTCTACTTCCAGGAAGCAATTTATCCTAAGGAAATCTGAAATGAGGAATAAGATTTCTCCTCTGAGATGGAGAAATCCATCTCCAACTTTGGGCGTTTATCACCAACTTTGGGCGTTGAAGTTAGGTTTATGATGAATTTTAAATAACATTGAACCTGCTTATAATACAATGTTAAACAAATAAGGATACAAAATTGCACATATATATGTGTGTGTATATATATATATGTATATGTATATATATATATATATAATCTGAAGTAGGTAAAAACACAGGGAAAAAATCTAGGAGAATTTATTAAAATTACCCCCTAGAGATTAGTTATGGGTGATTATAATTGCCTTCTTTATACTTTACTATAATTTTAATTTTCTTTTTTTTTGTGAGGAAGATCAGCCCTGAGCTAACATCCATGCTAATCCTCCTCTTTTTGCTGAGGAAGACTGGCTCTGAGCTAATATCTATTGCCAATCCTCCTCCTTTTTTTTCCCCCAAAGCCCCAGTAGATAGTTGTATGTCATAGTTGCACATCCTTCTAGTTGCTGTATGTGGGACGCGGCCTCAGCATGGCCGGAGAAACGGTGCCTCAGCGGGCGCCGGGGATCCAAATCCGGGCCGCCAATAGCGGAGTGCATGCACTTAACCGCTAAGCCACGCGGCCGGCCCCTAGTTGCATCTTATTTGTTGGAACTGACAGTACAAAGATAACGTATGTGGGATTCAATTTACATTAATTAGGAAAACAAAATTATATTCAAATACTTGTAATTGTTTGGTATTTGCACATAAACTGGTGGTCTCTGGGGTAATAACCACCCTTGCTGGGGCTCCTTGCTGAGACCAAATGGGCTGGAGTCCTTGTTCTTTGTTTCACTGACCTAAAATTTCCTGGCTTGGGGCTGGCCCAGTGGTGCAGCAGTGAAGTTCCCGCAGTCTACTTCACTGGTTCGGATCTTGGGCGCAGACCTACTCACCACTCATTGAGCCATGCTGAGGCGGCGACCCACATAGAAGAACTAGGAGGACCTACAACTAGGATATACAACTATGTCCTGGGGGCTTTGGGGAGAAAAAAGAAAAAAAAAATTCCTGGCTCTGGATTATCTTTAAAGTCAAGGGAAAGACAAGAACTAAAATACCCAATTGATTCTATTGGAAGACAAATTCATCTCAGAGATTATGTACTGAAAAACATGTACCTCAGAAATTATTATATTCTTAAAAATATATGTTCTTAAAATTCTGGAGTTTCCTATTGTTTATACCAATGGTTCTCAAAGTATGTCAGTGATCCTTGAAATCTTTTCAGGCAGTCTGCAAGGTCAAAACTATTTTCATATAAACACAGATCCGTTATTTGTCTTTCTCATCCTCATTCTCTTATGAGTTTGCAGTGGAATTTTCCAGAGCTATGTGTATGATATCATCATAGTCAGAATGCAGATGGAGATATGAGAGTCCAGTCATCTGTGAAGCCTGTCATGAAAGAGATTTGTAAAAATATAAAACAATGCAATTCTCTCATTAATTTTTGTTTCATTTGGGAAAATATAGTTACATTGTAATGAAAATGAGACATTTAGTTTAACATGTAATCGGTTTATTATTTTTTAATAAATTGATAAACTATTTTAAATGTTTCTATTTATTTTCTAATGTAGTAAAAATGGATAGATATAACTTACATAAACAAAAGGTCTCTGGATTCCTCGGTAGTTTTTAAGATCCTTTTAAGAGTGTAAAGAAGTTCTGAGGCTAATAAATTTGGAAACCACTGGTCTATGCTATTAAGGAGCTAATAAGGTCTGAATGACCTACTTTTCATTTGAGGAATTATAACTATGGAAACTAGCCTGTGTCGCTAAGTGCAGGAAGCAACTGCTTCAAAAATGGAAACTGCAGGCACATTTGACTTTTTCCACTCATGAGATTTATTTTGGTGCTCTCTTCCTGTTAGTTACTTTAGGCTTGAAGAATTTATGTCCATTATGTTCCCGTATTCAGTATACTTAACAAAGTTTCAGAATTCCTGGAACTCTGTCCTCTCCTACCATTTACAAACTGCCCTGGGCCTCATCCCCTGAGCCTAGTTTTTCTATTGGAAACATGGGAATGATGGCTCTAGATAGTTCTTAAGATAGTTATGAAGTTAACGAATATGAAAGCATTTGAAAACTATAATGTGCTTTGCAGATATAAAGCTTACTACTATTAGACATTTCAATATACAAGTGGACACGATGAAATGTAAATTATCTCTTCAGCTGATATTATTTGATCCCTTGGATGTAGGTACAAATGACGTTGGTAAATGTGGAACAAATATTGACAATGTTTGGAGTGATATATTTTTTCTAAAGACCTTTTTTTGTAGGTTGATTTACAGATACAAAGGATGCATGTGGAAAGACAGAAAGGTGGAGGGAGGTGATAGAGGAGGAAGGTGATAGAACAGCATCTGACCCTCACTATCAAAACGTGTCCTGTAACAGTCGCATCTC